GTCTTTTATGTACCGACAGGAATGGTAGAAGTTCGAGTTAAAATACATTTTCAAAATAGAATTATTAATGATTAAACAGGGGTATAAGCTTACTCGGAGAATACAGTTTCCAAAGGGAGCCTTCTAAAATACTCTACAACCCTAATAGTGACAACCTACAAGGCTAAAACTATAAAAATTATCAAAGTAGTACAACATCTAAGAAAAAAAAAAAAAAAAAAAAAAAAAATAAAACCACAGTAACAAATTCCCTGGAAAAAGAGTCTCACTTCAATGTCTATTTCTCATCTCACTGATAAAGGACACAGGCGTGTCCAAAAATTCCAACTTTAACATTTTCCTCTTCGTGCATCGGTTTAATCAAAAGGCTTACTAATATAAAATAAATATTACTCTTACTGACAATATTTTTTATAATTTTGTTACCTTTTATTCCTCGAATTTAATTAACCAGCCTATTAAATGCACACACAGACACAGAGACACACACATATATATATATATATATATATATATATATATATATATATATATATATGTGTGTGTGTGTGTGTGTGTGTGTGTGTGTGTGTGTGTGTGCGTGAAGTTGCATTTTACGCTTAAAATAACAAAAAAGCATAAATATTACTCTTATGGGGTGGGTGGGCAAGCTTGTGCATTGTGACTCTCGTTATTTTATCAACATTTGCTTTTTTTATACCAACATTTGTATACATTACAAATTAAACTAAGTACAACTGACTATTCAAGGGTGAAGAATATTCGCGTATTTTGACCTCATTCTGGGGGTCTTTTGTTTTTGTACAAATCCATGAAAAACACTATTATAAAATTCACTATTTTTTTTTTATCTATTACTAGCAGTAGAGCCCAGCGTTGCCCGGGGATGTAACAGTAAGAGATAGATCAAGTATCGACCATCATAAAGACTAAAAAATAAAATTGACAAAGATTATTGTTTAAGGTTGACGGACACGCATGTCTTAATTATTTTTTTTTTTTTTTTTTTACGAATTGGTCAAACCCAAACTCAAACAAAAACATTGTTTTCAATCGTTATGAGTCTACCGATTGAATAGAATTTTATTATAAACAATTGTCTTGTAAATGGAATTATTAAAGCATTCTGAATGTAAATAAAGAAAAAAGTGTGCAAGACAATAAGAAACACTACCTGCCAAATAAAAGTGAAGTTTTGTTGAAATCGGTTGAAAAATGTAGGAAATCCGATCCCATATATAAACGAACACACACACACACACACACACACACACACACACACACACACACACACACACACACAACCAACCTGGATTTTATAATAAGTATAACTCGATAACTCGATATTAATAAGTATAACTTGATATGAGTTGTCCCCCTTTCATTAATGCCTCTTAATCGTGTTTTCAAATTGATTTCGTGCAAAAAACAATTGTGTTTTTTCAATTTTTGCGCTGTCAGAAACCCGCAAGGTAATTTTACGTAGTCCTGTGAAGTTTTGTTGAAATCAGTTTGAAAAATGTAGGAAATCCGATCCAATATATAAACGTACATACACACACACACACACACACAATCTGCGTTTTATAATATGTAAGATGATGATTGTGTTAAATTATTCAACATTTAACAAGAGAAATCTCAAGTTGATGTTAAAAATTGCTGCAAATTTAGAATTTATGTTTAATTAATACGGATACATTAATTTGTGTTACAAGGCCAAAGGAGACGTAGGGGAAAAGCTGATTAACATTGTTTATCTTACATCTAGCTAATCTGACTCATTTACTTTAACAATTTCTACAATCGCCACAAAAACTCATCCTTTTCCATTCAGTGCAAATTGTATCACAATACCACGTTTTTGGCGATCCTAATAAAACACCGATGATTTCAAAATTTTTTCATATTGTTGGATTAAACCCCACTGATGATGACCCTCAAGTGGTGAGATTTTGAATTACCATCCTCGGCGATAATTACAGTCAGTGCAATTTTTTCTTCTCTTTTTCGGTGACTTTTATAGCGAAAAGACGTATTATTTTTGCTCCCATTAACATATATATAACTCAGCTACAGCTACTGATACTGAAGGTTGCTTTGAACTTTTCACATTTAATTTCATTTATCATTTTTCCTTATCGTAAAATGTCCTATCAATATATTTCTTAATATTTATTTGTTTTAAATTCTATGTCCTGTCACTGGATCTAACTAACGTCTTTATCCACTGTGCCATGTGTCCTCAAGGACACATGTCACAGTGGATAAAGGCGTTAGTTAGATCCAAAGATCTAACTAACGCAAAGAGTGTAAATTCAATACCTGGTTAAGGCAATAGAGAACTTGAAAAGGGGAATTAACAGGGGATAACTGATAACTGACATCCATTAGACATGGTATGTGGAACTAGAACAATCTACCCCAGCGAGCGAAATAAAGGGTTTAATTCGACATTCCAACCACTTGAAGAAGGCCGGAGCGTACAACGGTCGAAACATTGTGATAAATATGGCAACAAAGATGAGGACAATAGTCCGAATAATGTAAATAGTGTACATAACACCTCATCTCAGAAATATAGACAAATTACTAATGCTTCCAAGAAAATTAAATTTCAGCATTAAATGACCCATAAGGAGTTGATATGCTGCTAAAATGAATACTACCTTATGAAAGTTGAGATGTAGTAAAGCGTGTGAGTGTGTGTGTGTGTTCTCCGTATCATAGGTTCAGTGTGGAGTACAAGATCCTTCCACCGGCCTTGCAATGACCGATAAAGGTTCTCCCCAACTTTTTGTCTTTTGCATCCTCTAAGTTACTTTTGACCCTTTACCAACCCTTTTGTAATCGTCATACCATCCATTCTTTCAAACTCATTAAGAGATCATAGCTCTCCATAACTTCCTGTGTGACACCCACCGGTGGTCGCGGTCGCAACGCCAATATGTGACGGTTGGCTTTGTTTTTCTTTCTGAATTCTGTTTCCCTTGGTGCGCCACTCCCTTAACATGACATTAATCAGTTTTGACAGAATCTCATATCTCGCTTTTTCTTACGGATTTTCTGTCTCGTGCGAAAAGTATCTTTCTTCGTAAATAAAATAAAATCTTTTTTTTTCAACGTCGATCAGTCTATCTTTCGATATAGCTCTTTCTCGCCTTAAGTCTTTCCTGTTTTTAATTTCTCTGGTTAATTAGTTAGCCAATTACCATAGCTAAATAGTGTCACACCTGTCTTTAATTCTTCTAAGTAACTTTTGGCCCTTTTATCCTCCCTCTTTGTCCTTGTTCTACCATACATTCTTTCAAACTCATTAAGTGATCATGGCCCTCCACAACTTCCTGTCTTTCATTGTTCTAATTAACTTTTAAATCTTTACCATCCCTCTCTGTACCTGCCACGCTATCCATTCTTACAAATTCATTAAGTGATCACGGCTCTCCCCAACTTCCTGTCTTTCATTGTTCTAAGTAATTTTTTGAGTTAGATTAGCTATGTGTAGGATAGACAATGTTAACAAGCCTCCCCTTCTCTTTTGGCCTTATACCACACATTAATGTATTCATATTAATTCAATATATATTCCATCTTAAATAAATAACAATGTTTTACAGTAATTCAAAAATTACTTAACATTGTTCTAAGTAACTGTATATAACCTTTGTGAGGTGTATATTATACATCCATTGAAAAGATTATAGTCTACAGTTAATTGCAGTTCAAGGTTGTGGTCTCTATGATTTCAACTGAGGTTGAACGAAGGAAGAAAATTGGAGAGCCGAGTTCCAATTCCCATTGGGTTCGTTATATTCACTTATACGTAAATATCCTTGGGAAAGAAAAAATAGAAAATTGATTGATTTGTTTTCTACGGCTTATCAACCCATTGCAGGTTATTTAAAGCCAGAAAATATTTTTAGATTGTAAATATTTTTTCAGAGATAATAATAGTTTAGTGATACAAGTCTTATTAATTAACCCATAGCTGGGGAGAGAAGAGATGTATTTCCCAATAGTTTTCATTAACTTTGTCGTAGAAATTTCATCGGTTTATTTTATTTTATCTTTATAACAGTGGAGTTACGGATAGCGGCTCAGATTGAGGAATCGGAGAGCCGAGTTCGAATTCCAGTCGAATCCATTACATTCATTTATGTGCTAATACCCTTGGGAAAGGTATGGATCCTCTTCTTTTCCCCTCACCTATGGGTAAACAGCAGGACAGACCGGGTTCTATAGCCTTGGATGGTAACTGGTCTACCGTAGAAAGAAATGGCGACCTACTGCGGAAAAAAATCTGCCTCGTTAGTCATGTATCGAAAGATACATGATCGCCTAAGCGTGTATCACGCATGGCAAATAACTGGTTTTTTCTCATGAATAGAAATATTCACATCATTTTGAAAAAGATAAAACAAAACAAAAAAAAAACAAAAAAAAAACACGAGTCTATTTACAATTAATTTTTTATTCCATCATGATACTGTTTGGGTATCCTGTTTTTAGTCATCCTTGTGGTAATAACTGGTTGGGGATGAGGGTTCAGGCAATGCCCATCTTCACTCCAAACAGGCTACAAATTGTGTTTTCCTATCGCTTCCTAAATAAATAATGACCAGTTCAATTGATTAAGGCATTCATAGTTTACGCTCTCTTTATTTTTTTAAAAAAAGAAGAAAAGGAAAAAGAAAAAAAGTAATGAAGAAGTTTAAACTTAACCACACCGGTCCACCGCCTTCTTTTGCCTTAGCAACGGAATGACGCTGTTAAGGGAGCGGAAGTGGTCATATACGCATGCGCACAGGTGCATTTTGGTCGAGAAACTTTCAACCTAGAGACGACGTAAACATGGCAGGTTTTGCTTGTTGATGTTGTCCTAACAACTAGTATATTTGGGGGGGAATAAAGAGAGAAAGCAAGCGGAATCGGGATTTATTTTTCCCATTTTTTTTTCTCTCTCATTCCTCAAACTTTATCGATTACTTGTACAAGCCATCATGGATCCTAAAGTGAGCAAAAAGACCCAGGAGACCCTCGGCAAGATTATTAAACGACCTCCCCTTACTGACAAGTTGTTGGCTAAACCGCCTTTTAGGTTCCTTCACGATATTATTACTTCTGTAAGTTTGTTTACATTTTTTTTTTTTTTTACTTATTTAAATTTATAAAGAACGCTGAACTTTCCTTTTTTTTAATAGTAGTTTCATTTTTGGTGGTAAAACTTCGCAATGACATGTCTTTTTTTGTTTATTTTATTTGTATTTAAATTCTGATTTCGGTGGATAAACAAACAAAACAAGCAAATAAATTTTCTATTCGGACATTTAATTTTCTTTTCTAACTTAATATTAGCTGTTTTAAATAGTTTTGTTTGAAACCTGGTTTGTAAAATCTACATCATAACCGAGAGAGCACATTTTAAAACTTTTAAAAAAGTTTTTTTTTCTTTTAAGCTCTTTCCATAGACGTTCGATCAACAGTTTGTTATTCAAGTCGCATTTTTTGACATTGAGATATGAATGAAGATATCAAAATGAAAATTTTTTTTTTAAATATTTAGAGAGAAAAAAAAGAAGACCATGTATTCTGAAAAAAAGCTAATTGCTTTTTTAGTTTAAAAAAGTGGGCGAAAAATAAGTTAAGTAGTTGATATTGCTTAAAAATAAAATTCGGAAAAAGAAACAGATAAAAAAAAAGAACATATTTTTAAGCAGTTAATATTGTTTTAAACTTTACAATTTACAGATAAACCTCGAAAAATAGAATTACTTTAGATTTTGGTTGGTTTTGTTAAGTTTAGTGTTTCAAACGATTTCTACATACCAAATACTGATTTATCTCCCTTACGTTCCCCTTAGCCTTAAACTTGAATTTAAAAAAAAACAAAACATTCTCATATTCTAAGACATGGCATCATATGGATTTTAAAATTCCTACACTAGAAATTAAACAAAAATGCCATCATTCATGTTCTTATTGAAAAACAAAAATTAAAATCATTTTAAATAATGTCTAAAGTTTATTAATTAATTTTATTTGAAAGACTAGTGTAGAAGCCCCCCTTCAGGTGGACTTTAGGCTAGCTCCTGCAGAGAGTTTTTGGGTCTTTGGTCATTTACTTTCAGCATCCTGTGTACATAAGAGTTATAAGAATTTAGAAATAATCAAATTATTTTATCTTTATTTGACATCTTAATTCGGCATAATCTTTCTTTGTATACGCAACCGATCTCCATAATTTGCTTAGATTTATTTTGTGCACAAATGATCCCTTCACATGAAGTCATTCTTAAATGACATTAGGGAACCTGAACTAAGTAATATTTTGAATACGTCACAGTATGTGATCTAGAAAAAGAAAAAGACCTTTATGAGAAACATACTGTGACCTGCTTAAAGTTTTAATTATGGTTTAATTAGACAATATCAATTGTGCTGAAAAGTGAAATTAAAGTTAAACCTTTAATAAAGAATTGTCTTACTCTGTCCAATATTTAACTTTAAATCAGGTATTTATTTAATTTTTAATCGTGTGTAACTACATTACTGTTACTTATGATTCACCGAGATTGAAAAACTGAATGACAAAGAGACACACGTACACTGTGCTTTATTTATATCCAAGATAGAAGGAAATAGAGAATAGCCTAAAAAGCCAATTTGTAAATAAAGAAAAATGATTTTGTGTATTGAAATAAGGTTTTTAGACATTTTCAAAACATTGGTACCTTCACTCATTGAACTGCTACAGTATAACCCGGATATAAGAGAGATTTTCTCTGGTCCCAAATTAGAGCCTGTGTTAAAATAAACCAAACCCGGATATAAGGGACTTCTTCTCCGGTCCCGACAACTCTCGTATATCCGGGTTACACTGTATTATTACAAAAAAGGAAAATAATAAATTTAAAAATCTCTTAAAAATCCAATATTTGTTTGAGAGTAAATTCGTAAATCTAAGGATTAATTAATTGGATTTTGTAAAAATAATACTTTTTAATTTTAAACATACAATTGACCATGAGCTATAGGTCGCCAACAGTAGCTGTCTACTGTCACCTCCACTAACCAAAAGAAAAGTGTGTAAAATTGAATTAAGTATGGAGGACAATAACTAATAACTCTTGTTGCGAATGGCCCCTTGATGAATTTTAAAATTGCAACTATATTTAGTGAATGTAAAACATCATTTTTTTTTTTTTTTTTTTTTTTTTTTTTGTCAAAATTGTTTTCTCAAATTATGGAAGCACCAAATCTCAACAAAAAACATATTTGAATTTTATTGAATTGAAGATTTTTGATGATTTTCCTGTATGTTTCTGGTTGATGATCCATTTTTTTTTTTTTTTTTATTAACTGAAATAACATCTTTAGCCATTGTAAAAAAAGATTTTTGATTCCCACCCAACCAAAAACTGTTCACAATATATCAAAAAAGGAGATGTGTGAAACTGATACCGCAGAATATTTCCACAGACTTTTGTAAAATATATATTTAACATAAAATTAATTCACTAATGAATAAATGCTAAAAATTTAATTTAAATCAAATAATTCTTTGATTTTTGGCTATTTAAAAAAAAAAAAAAAAACTACAGCTAGTGCACATACTGATGCTTATATCTGAAATATTATATAATTTAGTTATACTATTTTTTCCCCCACAAGTAAAAATTGAAATTAATCTCCATGACAAAAAATGTTCTGATAAATTTTCATGGGAACACGATTTCAGTCCATAATTTTGCAAAAGTTTTGAAAAATTTTTGGTTTTATTTTTTGAGGCAGGGGAGGTTGGGAATAACCTTTTCCCTCCCCACAAATTCCTTCATATAAAATGGGATTTATTCTTAACTAATATCACTTTGTGCTATATTTTGTTTTATTTCATGTTATGATTTGTGCATAACAAGCAGTGAATTACCTGAGGGCTCAGAATCTTTTTTCTTTTTTCCTTGCTTGTTCTGTTTTCAGTCTATATAAATTTGGATTGATTTTAAAATTTTCAGCAACCACTTGTTAACCAAGTTGTTGATGCTTTAAATTCAGTACAAAATAGTTTTCATTGTTCTGTGACTAGGACATTGTTAGTTTTCCAGTAGGGCTCATAATATGAGACTAATTAAATAACACATTTGCTTTGCCAGTAGAAAACAGCCTTTTTGTTTTCCCTTCCAAGGGCAGTAATAATGATGAGAGACTAGTAATATAGGTATTTATAGTTAGGATAAGAATGATCTTCAACAAAAAATCAACTTTCTTATTTCAAAACAAACTATGATTAGGAATTGGAATGGAAGCAATGATGGCACCTAACCTGAATCCATCATCAATATTCAGAATGGGGAATTAATAAATATTAAATACTTCAAGTCTCTTGGTATATGTTGGTATACGGAGCAGTTATAACACATTTAGTATTGGAGATAAAGAAATTGAATATGAAATAGGCTGTTTTAGAAGTAATTTTGTTCAATGATGCAAGATGCTAGAAAAACCAAACATTAACCTAAGAACTTGTCATGTTTTTAAATAACCTCATCTGATGTAGACTCTCACCTGGATGTCATGCATAGCATCCAACCTTTTTTGAAATATCTAAATTATCAACTGCTTTCTCAGATCAATGATTAAAAATGGTTTCAAATGAATTAACCCTGTGGGTCTTGAAGAGGAGTTTTTGTAAACTGGTGCTACAGAATCTCAAAGAAAGATTTTTTTTTTTTTGAGATCCAAACACCATATCATTTCAAACCTCATAAGGGGGGTACAAAGGAGGAAATGAGAGCTCCAATCTATTTAATCACTTCTGAGACTAAAGCTCTATGCATGCACAAGCACAGATGGTAAGAGATTGGAATAGATCATTAAAAAAAATTCCATACCACATCCCAAATGACTGTACCAGTAGAAAACACTATTCCTGTTATCCATCCAGTGGCTAGGGTACTGTTGTGGTGGGGGTCTATGCTGATGACATAGTTGGGATAAGAATAATCTTGAACAGAAAATCAGCATCCTCTATCCAGTGTTTCAAGAAATGAGACTCGAGGTAAATCTTTCCAAAACAGAAACAATGTTCTGGAATTGGAATGAAAGCTGTGATGCTACCTACTCTGAGTTCATCATAAGCATTCAGGATGTGGAATTAGTAAATACTAAACACTTCAAATACCTCAATGTCTGGATCAGTTGTAACAAATTTAGTATAGGAGATAAGGAAATAGAACATAGGTTGTGCTAGGGTTAGTTTTGTCCAACATTGCAAAATGCTAAAAAACCAAAACATTAACCATAGAACTCAATTTTTGTTCTTAAATATTCTTGTCAGATTGAGATTTTCATATGGGCAAAGTTGGATCTTTGTGGCTGCAAAAAAACATTGTTAAAAGGACATTAAAAGGACAACATTGCTATTATTTTATCTTCTCGGCAATATTTATTCTTTTAAAAAGGGAGGATGTAATAAAACCTAAACATATGAAAATGAATTTATACTTTTTCTTTGTTTTTGAGAATTGACAACAAAAATAATAAACACTGTTTGATTGTTTATTTACACTCTTTATTTATTGTTTATTGAAATGGTTGGCAAGACACCAGCCAATTAATTTGAACTTTATAAAATGGTAAATAATAAAGATTTCATTATAGTTGGTTCACATATTTTAATAATTTAGTAAATGTGTGTAAATTTATGAATAAAAATTTGTTTTCATATTTATTTCTTTATAAATTGGTAATTAGTTTTAATACAATTGTATTAGTTTTTAAAATGTTGTAAATATAAAATTATTCTTGTAAATAAACAATCTAATTAAATAAATAGAGATTTATATTTTTGTTGTAAATTCTCAAGAACAAAAAAAAAAATAAATGAATTCACTTTCATCACATTTAGGTTTTATTACAATTTTAATGATCATTTTTTTAAAACAATAAACATAGCCATCCATTCACATAAGGTTGCCAGGTTGGTGACACTCTGTCTCCCTCTCCCTTTTTTCTTTGCTGTGTCCAGTGAGTATCAAATTTTCCAAGCCTTCCTTCCTCATTCTGTATTCCAGAAATTTCAGCTGTCTCCTCCTGATTTTAAATGTTCTTTTCATTTTCCTTAAGA